GCTGGGGATGGTGCTGACGGTGGTGGTACTGTTGGTGGTAGTACTTGTGTTGGTGGACTGGCTTTGTGTGGAGCTGGGGATGGTGCTGACGGTGGTTGTACTGTTGGTGGTAGTACATGTGTTGGTGGACTTGCTTTGTGTGGTGCTGGGGATGGTGCTGACGGAGGCGCCGGTGGTGATACTGTTGGTGGTAGTACTTGTGTTGGTGGACGGGCTTTGTGCGGTGATAAAGTCCTGAGTTGTCGAGTCAGGAGTCTGTTTGTCCTCAGTGCTGGCTGACTGGGTGGAAGTGTTATCGGTGGTGGAAGGAGTTAGAGATGGAGTTGTACTGGGTAAATGTGTTTTGTCGCTATCGGTTGCCATGGATCCTAGGGTAGATGATGAATGCACAGGTGTGGTGTTGGCTGTTGCACAGCCCCATAGCAGACCTGCAATCCATGACAAAAGATGTTTTAAAGTGCATACCTGCAGCAGTTTTTAACATAAATTAGAGCATATGAAGAACCTGAGAAGACCTTAGTGGAATGATTATTCACCTGTTCATATTTATATTCCTATCTTGAAGGGCCTACTTAATCTTTGTAAATCATGGATGTGTTGAAGGAGAGCTTCGTTCATTGTTGTGGAAGCTGATCAGTGTTGCATTTATCCCGGGATAAAATTACCCAGATTTCCTGCATATGCTTCCAGATTGTAGGTCTTATAAGGTCATTGTAGGCCCCTGTGCATCATGTGATGGACACCATTACTGTAATTACACAGTTTGGCCTCTATATCAAATTGGCTTCAAAGCCTGGCGCTCTTCCTGGGGTCTTGGTGAAAACAGTTGTGCAATGACTTCTTTGGCTGTGCTTTCCAAACAAGTAACTCTGTTGTCACCATTTTGAGTACCCTAATTTTATGGAAGTGCCATACTAAATTGCTGGAATAGTGCTTTACTTTACATTGTGGTTGATTATTCAACTTTAGTTGCACTGCAGCACTGTTGTTGTTTTTCGTTTTGTGTTGTTGTTTCCTTTCATTAGCATGTTATTGGATCGATCCTGTTGGGCATAAGATGGTACATCTCAGTAGGTTTATCCAACAATCAACAACAAAATCTGAATAATAACTAGTTGCAGTGGCATGTAGAACAGACAGATGTTAATCTGTTATGTGTGGGCCATGGAAAAAGTCAGCTTCCTGGCTGAAATCAGTCAATGTTAAGCTAGCAGCTGGTAGGGTACAGTTAAAGTTCTGGCTAAAAATAAACCGTGCTAAGCTAGTGGCAGATAGCCAGGTAACAGAACAGCTCTAAATCTGGCAATTAAAAAGAGTATAACCAATAACTGTACAACAGTAATCCCACAATCAGATGCCTAGATGGGTTCAAGTGAAGCCATGTGAAGATATTCACGACTATCACGATTCACGATTATCATGATATTTAAAATTCACCACTGTAAATAAATATAGGAAAAATATAGGAAATTTATATATAAACACAAGGAACGCAAAGACATTTTCACATGACACTTAGAGTAGGTATCAAAGTAAAGTTTTTACTTATCAGGCAGGGGATATTCAGTATATTTGTTATTGTCAACTAATCCCATGAAAATAAAAGAAATCATCAATGAACTGATCCTGCTGCCATAAACTCTCACTAGACCACCAAATATGAATCCACTGCTGAATATAGTCTCCAACAAATGCACTGTTTCCTCCTGTGATAAAAACTACAAGGTGGTCATGTCAGAAAGTAGTGAGAGACAGACTAACACATGGACTTCAGAAAAATACAGAATAATGCCAGCTTTATCCTTTAACAATCCAGTATGTCGGGGGTTTTCAGCACCTGCGACTTCCACAGAGATGCTCCACAGTGCCACAGGAAGTCATTCCTGCCTGTGGCCATCAGACTGTTCAACTCGGTCATTAGACTGCGTCGTGGACATCGATTTATCACACCCTGTCAGCAGCTAATTTATAACTTCAATTGTACCATTCCGACTTAATAGTGCAATCATTTGTGCAATAATCATTTAAACAGGCAATACTCTAGTTGACTCTAACTTTAATACTGAAAACACACTTTATACTATTGTTATCACACTGGCACACATATTTATCTTTGTTAAGCAACTTGATCAGTTGTAATGTAACCCAAATTCGCCCTGGGGATCAATAAAATATTTCTGATTCTGGGACTTTCTTTTGTGCAGGATAATGTAATGGTTAAGGACGAGAGACAAAGTTTCGTTATCACTGTTCCAATGACCAGGAAATCCGGGCAAAGATCAGGTATGACACACAAGTTTTCATGTGTTCTTAGTACTCTGGTCATGGTGTTTTTAGAACGATCAGACTTCAAATGAATAAAGAAGTGTTGTTGTTGTGTTGCTGTTTTCAGCATCATCTAGTAACAGAGAGTCTCAATCTTTCAGAAATAATCTAAGGGATAATACATTATCCTGTGATGTAAGACTTCCATCACTATACGCACATTTTATAACAACACAGTGTCCTTCGCAGATTCAAAGTCAGTGCCTGAGAGCACATTAGTTTAATCGTCACTAAGTTATGAACACTAGTGGAAATATCTAGTGTACTCTCACAGTGAGATTTTAGTGCGCAGCAGCAAATCAAACAGTAAAGAAGCATTCTGTTACGTAGCCTTAACGCTCATCAGGGAGAGATGGCTTGTGATTTGAATGAAAATAAACACCATCTTTAAACCAGCGGGAAAAAAGTCTGTTCTTAAAAGATGCTGTAAGTTGAATTGTGAAAAATGTCAGACTGAATGAAACAAGCAGGAATGACTCACCTCACACAAATCGAGACATTTTTGCAATGGAGCATGAAAGAATTTACATGGTAGTTGTGCGGCTTGTCAACTTTTTAACATGGTATATCTGCATTCCCTCCATCTCCCTGAGCCAAAATGTCACCATCCACTACTGACATTCAACTTATTTCAGCAGTTTCCTTAAAGCTAGTGAATTATCTTCATACTTGTGTTGTGACCTTCCCCGTTTTCTGACTTCTTCGAGACATTTACATTAAAGCACATCTTAAAAAGAGAAAGAGAGAAATCCAATGGCACGCATTAATGTCAGAGTTTACTTACATGTTATCAGAGCTTTCAGGCTGACCCTCATGACTGTGTTCCTTTTACTGTGTATCTCCACAAGCACTCGTGTAACTGCTGCTCTGCGCTCTCTGCTCCCTGTAGACAGCTGTAGTGTGTGTGGCTTCCTGTGACTGTAGGTGACTGATTATAAGAGCCGGGGGGCGAGGCTACACAATGACTGAGTCACACTCAAAATCTCATGGGGTGGCCTGGTCATGGTATGAAGCTGTTGTAATGAAGACTTAAAACCTAAAGACCACAGGAAGTTGCACTAAAGGTTACACACTCTATTGGTAGTATACTTTTAGGATGGCTTGATGTAATTTCTGACATACTTTAAATTAACATTGAGCTTATTGCATGTGGTAGTGTTCAATATGGTTTTACTAATATTCCTTTAGGTGCTTATAATGTGCTGTTCTACTGTATAGTGTGACTGATTAAATTGTACATCTTAATTGTAATTATTAGTATATGCCAGCAGAGAGCAGCACATACATTTAGAATGTGGCAAAGACAGTTAAAAAGTAGAATATTATTACAACATATAGATAATCTCTTAGTCATGAAACACAATAAAGATATAGTAATAATTAGACTAAAATAGCTATGCAACAAGGCAGCGTTGTTTGGAGATGAAGACAAGTTTGAAAATGAGTGGAAAACAAGTTAGAAAGACGTGAGCCAGACTAGTAGTTCCAAACCTCGGGGGCGGGGCCCCCACTAGGGTTCGCCAAAGCTTTATGTAAGAAAACTTAAAAAATACACAGAGTTGGCCTATGTCAGCATTTTGTGTATTTCTGTGAAGAAAACTGCCAAATTAAAACCAGGTGCAAAAAAAAGAAAGATTAGATATTTATTTAAGGTGTAAAAAAGAACTGAACACAAGTGTTGTGCATCGTCCTGCATTAGAAAAGTATGCAGTTAAAACCACCAAAAAGCTAATGGAACAATGGCCAGGGAGAAGAAAACACTGGATTTGTCAAGGATAAAGCCTCTTACGATGTATTTATTATTAAATATTAAATAAATAAATACATTCAATACAGACAAAGAATTGTATAAAAAGTTCCTAAAAATATCAGGAAAACTCAGCTGTGATGCATTCAATTCCATTTGTTTGGCCTATAAATCTTGTTCTCCAAATGTAAGAAAAACATGGTACAGACTCCAACAAATGTCACATAATCATGATTGTAAAATTTTCTAAAAGGTTCAGTGAAAATGACGATGAAAATTGTGATGCAAAAATATTATTCTATATTATTATTATTATTATTAAAAAACATTCCCAGTAAAAGTGAATCAGATTGTAATATCTGTCCAAATAATTGCAATGGGATTTAATGTAGCCCTACTTTTATTTATTACCATATGCCTGAAAAACTAAGGACATCCCCATCAGCCCTAGCTGTACATTGTGTTGATGGCTAATGTCAGGATGCTAACATGCTAAACTAACTAAGATAACCATTATACCTGCCAAATATCAGCATGTTAATGTGTTGCTCTGTGATTAAGTATACAGCCTCACAGAGTTGCTGTACTGATGTACAATATTTGACTTGTAAGAGCAAAGACTTTTGGCTTTTGACCAACTTACCTGAGGAATTACAGCTGACAGAGACAGTTTCCTTATTTGAAGAGCGGCTGCTGCTGTGCTGGTTGCTGGTGTGGTCTGGGCCACAGATGTTGGCTCAGGCCCTGAAGTAGAGCTTGTGCTGTGGTAGATGTGGCTATGAAAAAAGAATAAATTCAGGAGGTGTCTATGATGAAGCTGGATTGACAACAATACTGGAGACTTTGTCCAATCCTGTCTGTCACTAAATCTGTGGATTATGTAGAAACTGTAGACTTGGCATCGGCATCACAGGTGGACTGAGCTGGATTTGTAGTGGTGGCGGGGGGTTGGGGAGATGAGTGCTGGATAGTTGGTCAGTTATGATCCTACTGTTACACACTGGACCTTTTTAAATGTATTACGGTGCCATTAAAGTGACACTTGAATAAATTAACTGTTAATATAAACAGTATAATTTTAATATCAAATTCAAATGAAGTAGCAAAAAAGTATATCATTCATTTGCTATTGTTAAACCAAGAATAGGTAGAATGGAAGTTTTGTCTCATAATGATATGCTTTATTTTACTCAAAACAAGTACAGTTGAAGTTGTTTAAATAAAGCAAATTTAAACAAGACATATTTCAGCATTAGTTTAATGTAATGTTATAATACAAAGATATTTCATTCTTGTGAGTATTTATTATCTGTATCTATCTTTTAAGGTTTAGGTTAAAATAATCATCGAAATCATTCCTGTGAATTAAATCCAATCATTTATACACAGAAAAATAAATATATAAATAAAATTGAAAACAGATTTCAGAGCTTAGCACCAACTGAAACAAAAGTGAACACTTCTGGAACAGTTAACTTACATGCTAACAGAGTTTGTGGGCTGACCCTCATCACTGTGTGCCAGTATATTTCCCCAAATTGTAGACTTGTTGTACTGCATGCAGCTCTGTCCTCTCTGCTTCCTGTGGATAGCAGTGATGTGTCTGGTTGATTGTGACTGTAGGTGACTGATTATAAGAGCTTGGGGGTGAGGCCACAACATGATGGAGGAGAACTGACCATGTCGTGTTGCGCTGGAATTAAGGATGCCTTCTTTTGCCAGAGAGCAGAAAGTTTGACTAAAAAGTGATAGTGTAAAAACTTGTCCTCAGAACAGTTGCAAAGAGAACTTTAAGGTGGTTTAATGTGTCTTTCACCCAGACAGAACAGTTGCAAAGAGAACTTTAAGGTGGTTTAATGTGTCTTTCACCCAGACAGAACATAAGAAAAGATCCCACAAGTTGTCTATAGCTTTCAGCGAGAACATTTTTATCGACGAACAGACAACTTTGTGGTCTGACATCATTCAATTTATCCCAGGATAACTCTTTCAATACTATAGAAGCAAAGATATGATTTTTATGTTTTTCCTTCCTGTCAAAGTGAGCCAGCATTAGCACCACAGAGAATATTTCTTCCTCTCAACAGTTGATCAATGTCCTAAAAACCACCTACACTGGCTAATGACAGGGTCTCACTGTCTTGTCAATCAATACAAATTGGCTTCTCTAGTAGCTCCTCAGGAAGGTCCTACCACAGTCTGGAGGCCTTGGTTTTAACATGTTCTATATTCTGGACTGGAGTTTGGACTCATCGGGAGTATTTTTTGAGTTTGTGCTCCATGCTCAGGTGACTGAAAGGTTGGATGAAGAGATGCTTGGGTGGGTATTGTTTTTTGTAATGTGGTTTAAAACCTTGGAATAAAATGGAGAAGAGGGAGTTGCAGCAGTCTGAGTGCAAAGACAGGAAAGGAAGAGTTAACACCTCAAGGTCAGTGAAAGATGAATAGATTTTTATTATAAACCCTAACCCTAACCCTTGATGAACAGAATGTAACATATTATTTTTGTTAAGTAACACAATTAGTCAGATGTAACCAGTATTTGCATTTTTCAAGTAACTTGCCCAACACCGTGCCTAAGTCATGGAACAAAATAGTTTAGTGTGTTAAATGTCAGAATATTCTAAAAAATGTCCATCAGTGTCTCCAATGTGTCATTTTCAAGTTGCTTGTTTGGTTAGATAAACAGTCCAAGATTCAGAAAGAATGCATTGACAATGATATAAAACAGATAAAAGCAGCAACTCATCAACTCTTGCTGTGACCAGAAAATGTTTGCACTGTATTTTTTCTGTATTTGATTTCAGTGTTTTAGGAAGTCGTTACATAGACTTGACAAGTTACTGCAACAGGTCAGTTTTCCAATTTGGTCTGTCAGAGACACAGCTGACCCTGTGGTGTAGTGGTAGGCTACAGATTTGGTTGCTGAAAGTTTTAGTGTTCAAGATCCACCATTTTTAGGTTTTAAATGTAATGCTCAGAGCCTTGAGTTGTTCTTATATTAGTGTTATTACTAATTAAATAATCAAGCTATGACTTTTTTAAAGTTGTCTGTAGTTCATACTATAAGCCAGAAGAGAGCACCATATTCATCTATAATGTGGCCTGTGATTTTGAAACCACTGAAGTTATAGATTAAAAACATAGACAACACTGTATTTGTCTCCATTGTTAGCCTCTAATCAATGAGTCCCTATAGCTGCTTTAGGAATATTACAGGAATACCACAGATAAAAAAAAGGGTTAAGTATTGTAATGATATTTTATATCGGGGCTTTTATTGCCTTTAATTGATAGTGACAGCCTAAAAGTGACAGAAAAGGTGGGAGAGAGAGGGTCACAGGTTGGATTCAAACCCTGCACCACTGCAGCAAGGACTCTATATGGGGCAGCAGCTGTACCAGGTGAGCTATCTGGGCACCCTGATCATTTTTTAGCCAGTTCCTACCCCTAATCTATTACAGGGCAGTAGATGGGCTAAACTGCAGTAACTAACTTCTGGTTAGACACACACCTGTTGCCTCATGCAGTATTGTTGCCTCGTGGCTCTCCCCCCCGCACCTCCCTCCAATGTCTCAAAGCAGGTTGGCTATCTGAATGTCACGTTTCAGCTATTGATGTTTGTCTTTAGCTCTGTGTGCTTATCAGCAGATTCAATGAATATTTTCTTTAGTGCTGAAACAATTATTTTATGAACTGATGAGTCACCATAGACAGATATAATCACCAGATATTTTGATAATTGATCAATTGTTTCAGTAACAAAAACCCCCAAACTTCTAGTTCTAGCTACTCAACAGTCAGAATCTACAAGAATAAGACCTGAACTAAAACCCTTAAATGCACAGTAATGTTAAGACATTTATTCTGGGGGTCAACAAGGCCAACAGTAAGAGGTTTACATGCACCTCAGTGGGAGATGGGAATAATGGAAACCCCATGCAGTGACCTCGCCGTGACAAACTCCCTCTGCTCCCGACCGATTGCCTAATTAATCGGCCAGGCTGCTGATAGTCCTGAATTAGTTTGCAAAACAAATGAGGACGGCTGCCGTGCCACAGAAACCTCTGTGGAGAAGGGCAGTGAAGGAGGGGCTGGCATGAATAAATAATAAAGACTTATACTTCTCTAATAATGGAGGAATAACTTCATAT